TGCCCTGACTTAGATCAGCGCAGAGGTTGTTGCAGGGTTCGAAAAAATAAAAGATTTTATTGGAGCAAAAAAGGGGGACAAACGTGAGCCCCACCTTCCCCTCCCTGTCAAAAGGTCCTACCACTTACCACTACAAGTGCATCTACACTGACAAACACTTGATCCAATACTAGATCCTCCTGATGATTCCTCGTAACCCATTCCCAGTCCTGTTCTATTGGATGCTATGGACKGGTGACTTAGGGCAATGGGTGGCATATAACCTTTGGGTAATCCATTTGGAATACCATTATGYGTCATCATGTCTATTGGAGTCTTGTTCTTTGCATGATTGAATCTGGTCAAGAGTAAATGAAGAGCCAATCAATGTTATAAAACTAGGGGTAAAATCAGGTTAGGAAGTGCGGGCATAGAACATTGGTGGAAGATATTCTTAATTTATTTGAGAGGYTTAAGTAGCTATTAATATATGGAGAGGTAGATGCAAGTGAGTATTTTGTGATTTGGTTGGCCTGCTAAGGAAGGTTATCCCTGCGGATCGAATTCCCTCACGTACGCGTGAAAACCTGTTTGAGCACTGGCCTAATCTTGTAAGTCTGCATTCCTCGGATTCTTGACAATCTAGTTGGAAGTCGAAAACTCTGAAAAGCTGTCTAGTCTCTCGTATTCCGCGGGCCCAGGCCCCTTGGCRTTTTCTCGTCAAGATTATGCTTGTGTGCTCCTCTTGTCGCCCGCAATAATTTATACAGAAAGGGTCGTTTACACAGGTGATTTTTTCGGCGATTTCCACTGCGATTCTTGCAGAAAAAATGGCCAAAACTTCGCACTAAATTCGAATATGTTCAAAATAGGGGCGATTCATCCGCGACGTGAATTTATCAAATCGCCTCAAAATCGCCGGTAGTTTACACGAACGATTTATGATCGCACGTGAATCGCCGCAAGAATCGCAGTGGGAATCGCGTTGCAAATGGCCGAAAAAATCGCCTGTGTAAATGAGCCTTAACAGGTATATGAGGGATAGTATGGGTGGCGTACGCGTCGTCTTTCACCTGTGGTTCCAAAGGTTTGGGTCATGGATTGTGGACACCACTAGTGAATTGAAGTACATTGCATGGTTATGATCCATGTTGATGATGATGATACATGATGATGATGATACATGGTGATGATGCATGATGATACATAATGATGATGGTACATGGTGTTGATGATACATGATGATGAT